AGCGCCTGAAGGCAGGACAAGAAGCAACGGATGGAAACTAATCAAGGAGAGAAGCAACCTAGAACTAAGGAGAAATTTCCTGACAATTAGAATAATTAACCAGTGGAACAAGTTGCCTCCAGAAGCGGTGAATGCTCCAACACAGGAAGTTTTTAAGAAGAGACTGGACAGCCATTTGTCCGAAATGGTATAGGGTTTCCTGCCTGGGCAGGGGATTGGACTAGATGACCTCCAAGGTCCCTTCCAACTTTTTATTATTATTATTATTATTATTATTATTATTATTATTATTATTATTTAATCTGCACAATGAAAATCTACCTACACAAGTTATAGGAGGTTTTTGAGAAGAAGCTATTTAATCATCTCTTCTTCAAAACCTCCTATCTAATTCAGCTTCGCCTTGTAGAGAGAGAGTCAAACTAAATTATTCCACCGGTCCTTTCCAATTGATTTTGCTGTTCTTTGAAGCGCGGATAAGGAAATCACAAAAGAGCCAAATTCAGCTTTTTTGTTTGTTTGTTATTGGAATCAGGTGACAGATGTAGACACAATGTTCAGAGAACTGTCACTAGGAGGATGAAAAGTTTTTGCTGAACGGCTTCAGTTCCTAACCACTTCCTGAGGTTTTGTTGTTGTTGTTTTAAGCCAATACTTGAACACGCAGCTGGTCCTTTGGAAGGCCAAGGCTCATATTGTTTTACACTCCAGCTTGACTAACAACAACAACAACAGCTATGTTGCTGAACCCTAAATCCTAAACCACTTCTTTCAAGTCAGGACAGATTTAATGTCCACTATGATTTAGCTAGCATTCATTGCTCAGATCAGTCAGCCTAATTTTTCTACACTTGATCCTCTATTCTTCTTTGTTTGAGGATCAACCGAAGGTAGATGAAAAGTAAAGACCCCAGACAAAAGGCAGAATCAAAGAAATAAAACATTTATATTTCAGGTGCAGATTTAGATTAGGAGTTTGAGGTAACTGCATATTATTTTATTTATTTTATTTTATTTTTAAAATTTATAAGCCGCCCCACTCCCGGAGGACTCTTGGCGGCTAACAATAAAAACACATAAAACATAACAAAACAAACCGTACAAGAACAGTCATCCAGGGGTCAGATTTTATAAACCCCAGGCCTGCCGGAAAAGCCAGGTCTTAAGCAGCTTACGGAAAACCAACAGGGTGGGAGTGGTCCTAATCTCCGGGGGGAGCTGGTTCCAAGACGTAGGTGCCATCACAGAGAAGGCCCTCCTCCGCGGCCCCGCCAAATGGCACTGCTTGGCCGACGGGACCTGAAGGAGGCCCAGCCTGTGGGATCTAACCGGACGTAGGGAACTATGAGGTAGTAGGCGGTCTCGCAAATAGCCTGGCCCTGAGCCATATAGGGCTTTAAAGGTAATAACCAACACCTTGAATTGGACCCGGAGACCAATAGGCAACCAGTGCAGCTCACGGAGGATAAGTGTAATGTGGGTGTATCGAGGAGCACCCACTATCACCCGCACGGCTGCATTCTGGACCAACTGTAGTCTCCGAATACTTTTCAAGGGTAGCCTCATGTGGAGCACGTTGCAGTAGTCCAAATAGAAAATTTTGGCAGGAAAAGAGAGTTATATCTTCTTCCTAGATCTGTATGCATCTATAAAATAGGAATAGCTATTTTAAACTGCTTGATGGGTAATTCACTCCTGAGTCAAACATTCCCAAACAAAGCCGTGATTATCATTTGTTAATATTACATACCTGTATTTCTACAGATCTGCCTGTATGTTCATCAACTTAAAAAAAAAAAGAAAGAAATATTTGACTAATGGGGATATTGGAGATATTGGAATATCATATAGGTTTAGCTAATCTGCGTGATTTTATTTCTAAGGGTTTAATAAAGAATATCATTGTCTGTTTTGACCATATAAGTAGCTATTGTACTTATCCCCTCCCTATTTCTGACCCCCAGCCAATCAGAAAACTCTTTGCTCTGGTGTCCACAGAGCGTGACAAAAAAGACAATGTAGTAACCACAACAGTATAGTCGAAGTTCTCCCTGCTTTTTATGTGCATCATGTAAAAAATGTTCCTTAAAAAAAAATATCCAAGAATCAAGCTTAAGTCAAAACAGGATTGACTTTACCAGCCAATACAGAAATGAGATTTTTGTCTAAAACAATCCTTGAGGAGGAATTTTATAGCTGCTATTTTTTTTTTTAATTCCTAACAACACCAAGTGGGGTTGTGACCACAAATTCTATAAATAAAACAAAGAATGAAATAATTCTAAATCGTATATCAAAGATATCAGTAAGAATTTGGGCTATTCTTATAAATGAAAAGGGAGACATTCCAAACAAGAATGGAAAGGAAATATTGGGTTTTCCCAGATTCTTACTTCAATTAACTCATCTCCTTTGATTGACAAGTATAGTATATTGGTAATTTCAGGAAAAATAGAAGAATTTTATTTGCCAACAGGGGGGTTGCTTGTTAAATCAGCTTCATGAAATTGTGGAACTCATGCTGTTGGAATTACAGTGCAAATGATTAGATCCCCAACATTTGGCCCTGCAGCCATGCTCCCTATTTTATTGTTTCAGATATTTTTAAATTAGAGTATTTGTTCGGTTCTCAATTTAATGACCATGTTCACACAGCTTATAACTGGACTCACTGTTGTCGCTGATGGGAGGCTTGTTTAAATTTGATTGCTATTTTGAAAAGCTCTTTCAGAAAACCAGAAAATGTGATATAAGCCCCCGTTAAGGTCCTTTATTGAAGATTAAATAGCTAAGTTTTTTTTTCCCAAGTAATTCACCAGTGCCTATTGTGATCTATAAAGGACTTAACTGCAACCACAAGATTTACATTTATATTTTCCATTATATTTGATGTAAGCAAAATCTAAAATAAAATTGGACATTCTGGCTGGGAAACAAAATCTCAACAATTTCAAAAGAAAATATTTTTTTTTAAAATACCAAAAGTTACGGAGAGCTTTTTGTATCTCATGTCTGAAACCAATACAGTATAATGATGTGGCAATATTTCCAGCTAAGGTATGAGATTGGGGAAGGTGCTTTCCATGATAGATAGATAGATAGATAGATAGATAGATAGATAGATAGATAGATAGATAGATGGATGGATGGATGGATGGATGGATGGATGGATGGATGGATGGATGGATGGATGGATGGATGGATGGATGGATAGATATACATTGATAAATGAGAGTAACATGCATACAGTACATACATTGATAGATGAGAGAGAAAGAGAGTTGATACATTAAAATTACTTTTCCTTTGTATTGTAATAATGGTTATCATTAGTACTATCTTTTGTTAACTACTTATTTATTTTAGGTGTTTCTTGGCTCTTACATAAATAAATAGCTACCTCCTACTCCACCCAAACTTCCAGGAATGACCTCTGTGCTTCTAGTCTTATTTTCTTACATGTTTTTCAGGGGAAAAAACAACACTGTCTTTGACTGCACTCAGTTTATTTGTCTCCCTTAGCAAATTCGTGTTTGATGTTATTGACTGAGACTACTTTGGAACTGGATGCACTATCTGTACTGTATACACCATGCAAAATAACATTATATTCGGAATGACAGCGGTCCAAACCTTGGGGCTGAAAATGCTCCTTATGATGCATTCAGTTGCCACTTAACTGTTTTTTTTTTTTTTGACTTTTTGTTTTTTTGCCTGCAGAGGAAGGAAAGAAGTCACTGATGCTTTGAGACAGGTTTAAGCATTTTAAGAGTGTCTTAGCTTCTCAGAACAATGTCACAGGGATTGGGCCTAGCGCTCTACTCTGCTTCCATTAAGAAATGAGGAATTCCCCCCAAAAAATTGAACTCCAGTTTTATATTCAATAATAGTCCAACTTCTCCATTCAATAAGAGTATGGCCCCTAGGAGATAAATGCCAATAGCTCTTAAAAACAGTTGAAAAGTGTGTGTGGGCAGTGGAGAGAGAATTTGGCAATAAAAGTAGCCATGGTACTTATCTCCATCCTTTTTCTGACTCACGAATGCTAACAGCCAATCAGAAAACTCTTTGCTTGGGTGTCTACAGAGTGTGACAAAAAAGACAATATAGTAACCACATCAGTGTGGTCAAAGTTCTCCCTGTGTTTTATGTGCATCACGTAAAAATTTTCCTTTATATGTGTGTGTGTGTGTCTGTCTGTCTGTCTGTCTGTCTGTCTCTCTGTCTCTCTCTCTCTCTCGCTCTCTCTCTCTCTCTCTCTCTCTCTCTGTGTGTGTGTGTATGTTTTTGGTTATTCAGGTTTTGTCCCACATAAAATTGGAAGTGTCTTGGCGACGTTTCAACAAAGTCCCATTCGTCATCTTCAGGCTGGTGTTTTCGGCTTCGTGCTTCTAGAAGCACAAAGCCGAAAAGACCAGCCTGAAGATGACGAATGGGACTTCATCAAAACGTCACCAAGACACTTCCAATTGTACGCAGGAGAAAACCCGAATAACCAAAGACCTAAATATAAACACCCGCAAAAACCTCAGAAAACAAACAAATATATATTGGAATTGGAAGTGTCTTGGCGATGTTTTGGTGAAGTCCCATTCCTCATCTTCAGGCTGGTGTTTTCAGCTTCGTGCTTCTAGGAGCAATGTGGGGTCGTAGCTGTTTCTTCCTTTTAACTGCCAGTGGGGGTATGAACTGATTGCGTGGGAGCCTGGCTGTGTTCTGATTGGATGGAGGTGTGTTCTGATTGGTTAGGGGCTTGGCTGTGCTCTGATTGGATGGGGGGTTGGCTGTTCTCTGATTGGCTGGGGGAGTGTTCTGTTTGGGTGGGGGCTTTGTTGTGCTCAGGTTAGTCTGAGTTGCAGGGGGATTGTGGGTATACAGTTAAATAAAGGGCAGTGGCACGTGGGTCTAGAATGTTGAATGAAACTAAACCAAGCTAAACTGTTATAGTCAGTTATCCTGAAGATCTCTCACCTTTGTGCAATCTGTAACTCTCTTTGTAGGGGAAGAAGTAGCCTTCAATGGTGTGGCTTTAAGTGCTCCTAGAGGGATATCCAGATTGGGGGTCGGCCAAGGTAAGAAGGGCCTCAGCTGAACAGGAGATTAAACTTTCATAAAGTGAAATGTCAAAGTTTACAAGATCTTTTTCAGTATTGGTGTGAAGGACATAAATCAAGAGGCAAGGCCTGATGGACTCCAGTTTGCCCTTCAGCTACCAAGGTGGATATAGTATCAAGAGACACAAACTTAGTGAGTGGTTCTGTGGCAGCTATGGTTAATCCTATGGAGCTGTTGTAGCATATCTTCCTACTCATCCTTGTGCAGTGTTCAAAGAACTGACCTTTAACTGCATCATGCTTGGACTCATTCTGTAGATCAGGTTGACTCCCAGCATCTCCTTAACATAATTGTCTTCTGGGGACATCACAGAGAAGAGGGAATTGACTTATTCTCCAAAGCACCAGAGGGCAGGACAAGGGGTAATGGGGGGAAGTATGTTAAAGAGAGATCCAATCTAGAAGTGAGGAAGAATTTTCTGACAGTGAGAACAAATAACAATCAAAGGAACGGTTTACCTCCAGAAGTTGTGGAAGCTCCATCAACTGGAAGTTTTCAAAAATAGCCTGGACGACCATTTGACCAGGATGGCATATGATCTTCTGCCTTGTGCATGGGGTGGACTAGAAGTCCTCCAAGGTCCCTTCCAACCTTGTTTCTGTGTTCTGTCTAGCTTTTCAAGTCAACAAATGCCTATCCAAAATGTCCGGGCTTTTTAACTTAGCAGTGTCATTGTATTTTTTGTCACAAAAGGGAAAAATTTGGAAATTAGCATGAGGCTGCTTTATTTTAAGCACCGTTATGAGGAACAGTAGGCTACTCAAAGATCAGTAAGATTTGCTTGCTTCCGGGCAAACTTGATAGCTACTCCGCTTTGCACAGATCTACCTGCCAATACTGACAGTGGAGGAAGTGTCCCGAGGAAGGTACAATTGCTTTAGGAGAGCCAAAAACCAGAATTTAGGCTGCTCAGTGATATATGAAGCACAACCTATTCTTCATTTGCAAGGAGAGAGTATTTGGCCAAGGTAATTTTTATATATGTATATGGCTGAAGGGATTTGAAAGAGAACAGAGATGGAGACGTTTGCCTTTGCTGTGTTCTCATATATAATGCCAGTTGTGCTGATCTAGAGTCAGCTAACACTCTTAAAAAAATGTTGCTTTTTTTTTCAAAGTCACTCTTTCATGAGTCCAATTGTCCAAACACCCAGATGACTGTGTTGTTAATTGTGGAAACAGCATTTCTGCACCTTTATCTCCGAGTTTTCTTATTTTGTATAAAAACCATAGACAAAGTAGAGGGGTTTGAAGACGTCAAAAGGGGGTTTGGGATGGGGGTGAGACAGGTGACTTGATTTAGTCACCTGGGAGATGTTGAAAGCTCTAGCCACTGCTGTTTTTCTTGTTCTTTTTTGAAGATCTGATCTGAGTGTCTTACAATGATTATTACAGCTTCCTTGGATAATACAAGTTCCTTGATTCTTGCGTCAAGTTCAGCTGATTTGAAAGGAGGTTGAAGTCTCCATCTCTTTTCTTTCCCCTTCAATCTATCTTCCTTCCTTCCTTCCTTCCATCTCCATTTCCATCCCTTCCCCTTCAATCTCTCTCCTTCCTTCCTTCCTTCCCCCTTCAATCTCCTTCCTTCTCATCTCCTTCCTTTCCCCTTCAATCTTCCTTCCTTCCTTCCTTCCTTCCATCTCCATCCCTTCCCCTTCAATCTCTCTCTCCTTCCTTCCTTCCTTCCTTCCTTCCTTCCTTCCTTCCTTCCTTCCTTCCTTTCCCCTTCAATCTCCTTCCTTCTCCATTTCCTTCCTTTTCCCTTCAATCTTCCTTCCTTCCTTCCTTCCTTCCATCTCCATCTCCATCCCTTCCCTTTCAATCTCTCTCTCCTTCCTTCCTTCCTTCCTTCCTTCCTTCCTTCCTTCCTTCCTTCCTTCCTTCCTTCCTTCTTTTCTCCTTCCCTCCCTCCCAATAAAAAAGGCAGAAAACCATAGAAACCTGGTGAAGTTGGAATTCTCTGATCACCGCCTTGTACCTCCTCCACGTGACAAATTGAAAACAGGCTTAAATCAAACAGGGAATCAATAGAAAGCAGTGGTGGATTCCTTTACCCCAAGAATGTTATAGGAGGATATTTGGTTGAAGATTAAGTGAAGTAGGATGAAGCCTCTCCTTGTGCCGAGTACAGTTGTAAAGTTTGCCAGTTGCTGTATATATTTCAGAATAGAATAGAGTGGAGTGGAATGGAATGGAATAGAATAGAATAGAATAGAATATAGAATAGAATAGAATATAGAATAGAATAGAATAGAATAGAATATAATAGAATAGAATAGAATAGAATAGAATAGAATAGAATAGAATAGAATAGAATAGAATAGAATAGAATAGAATAGAAGAATAGACTAGACTAGACTAGACTAGAATAGACTAGAATAGACTAGAATAGGGATAGAATAGAATAGATATTGGAGAACAGACTAGACTAGACTAGACTAGACTAGACTAGACTAGAATAGACTAGACTAGACTAGAATAGAATAGAATAGAATAGAATAGAATAGAATAGAATAGAATAGAATAGAATAGAATAGAACAGGATGTAAGGGTCCTTGGAAGTCTTGTAGTCCAACCCCCTGCTCAAGCAGGAAACCTTATACCATTTCAGACAAATGTCTGTCCAATCTCTTCTTAAGAACCTCCAGTGATGGAGCACTCACAGCTTCCATTTCATTGATTAATTGTTCTCACTGTCAGGAAGTTTCTCCTTAGTTCTAGGTTGCTTCTCCCCTTGATTAGTTTCCATCTGTTGCTTCTTGTCCTGGCTTCAGGTATTTTTGAAAATAGCTTGATTAACTCTTCTTTGTGGTAGCCCCTGAGATACAAATGGAGAGTGTCGTTTGCTCTCCATGGTCCAGGCTTGGTCCTATGTTGCCAACCCCCAGCCTATCCTATAAGATGGCTGAAGAGGACACCATTACAACTCTTCCTCTATTTTTGTTTATTTTGTTGTAATGGGAGTTTACCTGAGCATAAATCTATATGTTTAGTTTTTCTCTGAAATTTATTCAAAAAGCTGCTCTGGGATATTAGTTCCTTGATTACCACTACAATCACTCCTTTTTCAACACAATCTTTCAAAACTAATGCATTTTAATACACCGCTGTATTACTATAGATGTAACTCATGTAGTTCTCTTCAATTCCTTGAACTTTTTAGGAATTAAAGATCCATCCGTTGGTTTTACTATCTGCTGCCCAGTGAAGATTTCTGCTCCAGAATCCCCCCCTTAGATTTTATAATTTAAAGAACTATATACAAATGCTGGTTTAAGTTCAAATAGGCTTGTGCTTACCTTCAAAAACATGTGAAGTATCCGGGATTCTTGGTTTATTTATTCTACAAAGCAAAACTATGTGATCAGAATGATATAAACCTCCCCAAGGTCTGCCTCTATTTTGTAGCGTGAATTCTCTTTTATAGGTGTGCCAGTCATTTTTTGTTGCAAGACTTTTAAACTAGAGACAAACCAAGTCCGTATTGCAAATTTTGAATGTTGGATTAGTTTCATTTTTAAAGGAAAACCAATACTAATTGGATTTAGTTTCTGATAGCCCTTGACTCATGGTGGATTTGTTTGGCGAGGAATATTGAAACATTGCTATGGGCAGATGCCATGAAAGAATTATTTTACATTGTTCTGACTTTTGGTCATGTGAATGGTGATGTGGGTTTGGCATCTTGTTCCCTTTCAGTAGACACGTCTGAATCTTTCCCACCTGTGCAGTGTCTTAGATAACCAATGCTCCCTTGGCTTGTCATTTCAGAGATACTTCTTCACCTAAATGGAGAAACAGAATGACCAAGGGAATCTGGCAGAGAGCATAGGAAATTTCTCTCCCTTCCCTTCCCTTCCCTTCCCTCATTTCCCTTCCCTTCCCTCCCCCTTGAGCAGGCATGTGAGTGGCTGCTGCTGGATAGAGAAGGGAGCAAGGGATTACTAGAATGGCTGGGAAACTGTCACAGAATGTTGAAAATTAAGACCACGTGACTGCATCAGCCCAGCAGAGTAGCACTGAAGCAAACCCAATTTTCACAAATTTCATTTCCTCGGGAGTCATTGCCCCTGGGTTTTGGACACATTCTGTATAAGCTAGCCCATTCAAGGTACCTTGGTTCAAAAACTGTTGCCGTATGATGCAACATTTTGCCAAGATAAAGATCATAACAATGCGAGTTTTAGAAGTATATAAAAGTCTCGTGATTTATAAGTTAGCCTTGATTCCCGGTATCTACATGTCCAAATGAGGTTTATGATTAAACAGGAAACTGATTTCTGATTGATTGATTGGGGATATTTTTAGTTTCCCAGTCTAGTCTGCAGTTTTAATGTTTCTTGTTCAAGTCATAATTACCCTGCTTTGCTTTTTCCAAGATGAAGAATGGAATCTGGCATGAACACTTCCCCACTCATTTCCGCTCCAGGAAATATATACAATTAAAACTGAATGGCTGGTATTATTTTTAAGAGGTTGAGCTAAAAAGTACTTGAAACTGAAAATAACAAGCAGCCCTTTTCTAAATCAATTGTAGATAATTTCTTTTCTTAGTTTAAAATAATATACTAATCCTAAATACGTTTAATATAGTAAAGTCTCTATGTATTTTCAGGTGAACAAACAAATAATAATGCTTGACTAGATTTGTTTTTATGCCATACAAGTCACAAAAAAGTATAATCTAAATAGAGAGTAGCTACGCAATGTAAAATAAATATGCCTATGAAACTCCAATTGGGATTTTTTTTTTATCTCACGATTTATTAGTGAACTATAGATAAAATTTTAATCAAATCAAATCTTTCTTGTGGTCATAGACTAGCACAAAATCAATTAGAGATTTTTGATTGTTAATTAGTACAACTTTACTCTAGCAATATACACTTAGATTCGTTGTATATATCACTTCCTAGTGCTTTACAGCCCTCTCTAGGCAGTTTACAGAGTCAGCCTATTGCCCCCCATCAATCTGGGTCCTCATTTTACTGACCTCGGAAGGATGGAAGGATGAGTCAACCTTGAGCCGGTCAGGATCGAACTGCTGGCGGTGATTAGAGTTAGCCTGCAATACTGCATTCTCACCACTGCACCACCACAGCATTTACTTCTATTTGCAATACTAATAAAAATACCTTTAAAGTTATAGGTAAGTTTAGAGGCTAACAATTCTCCCTACATGGAATTCACGAAGAGAGAGAGAGAGAGAGAGAGAGAGAGAGAGAGAGAGAGAGAGAGAGAGAGAGAGAGAGAGAGAGAAATAGCGAAGAAAGCAAGGCAAGTGGGTGGGTGGTGCTGAAATCACAAAAACACTACAACATTCACTAAACACTTTCCAATTACCAATCTCCCTGCAGTTAGATACCTATATAAACACATAGTGTTTGAATTCGATTTTGTTTTGTAAATGCAAAATGTTATTTCTTAAAGCTGTTATTAACGTGCTGCCGATCATTTGTTAATATCGTTCATTTTCATGCATTGCCTTGCCAGCCTTCATATGTTTGTATCCCTAACTTTAGAAACAATTAAATGAATGATTTCTCTGATTGAGATGGGGCCAAATTGATCTTACTGCCTGGATAATTAACCTCACCTGGAGATGTCCCCCCAATTTTTTTCCAACTAAGTTTATATTTGAGGTTAGCTTCTTCTGGGCAATGGATACATCTTAAATTCAGCTGAAGCTGAATGATTAATTTGTCACTCAGGAATCAACTCCCTCACCCATGTGAACTAAACTTAAGGAAGGAGTAACTTTTTTTTTTTTTTTAAAAAAAGGTGTTTATAGGGGAATATCAATGTTTGCAAGATAGATAAAAGGATGTGACACAAAGTTAATATAGGTTAAGTTGAATTTTGTCTGAAGGTAAGACCCATAGACATCAATGAGAGAGGGAGAGGCGGGATATATAAAATCTGGCCTTGAACATTGACCTACAGAAGGCAAGAATGTGAATCTATTCCATTCCCATTTAGTAAGTTTCATGCTTAGCCCTCTTTGTATCCTACTTTGTTAGTGTAGGAGATGATCAGGCTAAGCCTGATGGTGGGGTCAAATGCATTATCAGTCTAGAATCCCTACAACATGAAAGAGATCTAAATCCAGCCACTCCTTGAAGTCTGTTGGCTCTTCTAGAGCCAACTTGCCTTGACCTTTAGTAGATCAGATTCTTGGGTATAGGTAGCATGAAATAAATACACAGTGCTTTTGAACTCTATCCTGGCTCCTGTTTTTGTTTTTTTTTTTTTTTTTTCACCTGATACAGTTCTCATCTATATCCAGAATCCAGTCTTGGCAAACACACATTCTAATTGGCTATAATTGATTATTGCTTTCTTTTTTAAAAGAAGCAAAACGAGTTTGGCAACCTGTGCCACACGGTTTTAAAAGAGTCACCCTCAGATTTCCCCCGAAATGACTTTTTAAGCAACTGGAGTTGTCACAGGTGTGAGGAATGAGGAAGAGAACCAAATTCCTTTACGACAGCCCCAGCGAGGCTTTCCTAGGTCTGCTTACTTGTGCATAAGTAAAATGTCTATGGAGGTGTTCAGTCATCCAGGTCATGGTTGTCCCAAAGCTTTCAGGAGGCAACTGGACTTTCTCGTTTTTCTTTGAAGATGTTTCGCTTCTCATCCTAGAAGCTTCTTCAGCTCTGACTGGATGGTGGGGGGAATGGACAGATTTATACTCCTTGCAGCCCGCTGGTCATTTGCATTCTTTTAGAGAGTCGTTGAGGAGATAAAACTCCAAGTGGCCTCAATGATGCTCCGAAAGAATGCAAATGCAAGGAGTATAAATCTGTCCATTCCCCAGAACTGGAGAAGATTCTTGGATGAGAAACGAAACCTCTTCAAAGAAAAACGAGAAAGTCCAGTTGCCTCCTGAAAAAAAAAAAGCGCAGCGCAGAAGCCATTTCTGAAGCTGCTCCTGTCCAGTTTTTCCCCAGGGGAGCAAGGCGCGAAATCTCAACATCCTTTGTTGCTCTTTGTTTGCAGATTCAAGACCTCTGCCGGATGTTGCCCTGACGGGAAAGTGCACCCGGGACTGCGACGAGTACGGCCACTCCGATTCCTGTTGGATGCCTGTCCGCACGTCACCCGAAAGGAAGCCCAAGAGCCAGCCCAAACTCTCCACTTTCATGCCTGTCGATGAACGGGGCAGTCCGGAGAAGCTGGCCAACGGAGAGGCCTCCCTGATGGGCGATCGCAACAGAAACCTCCTGAACAAAAAGTTGACCTCATCTTATGAGACCTTCAGCGTAACTAGCTTCAGCAAAAGCGAAGACACCAACCCAGAGGATATTCCCCTGGCACAGACAGGGGAATACAAGCCATCTCCTATCAACACTTTATCTCGAAGGGAAGTTTACCTCTAGGGGATCAGGAAGTAACAATGCCGGTTCTTTCCCAGAGCAGAAGGCCCAAAGCCGATCACTCGAAACCATTGGAAAATTGGGGAAGGAAGAAAAACCACTCTGTCGAATCCAAGGGGGGCTACCAAAGAGACGAAGGCCTGGCTTGCCTCTTCTGCCTCCCAGCCAGGCATTTCCATATCCTGTCTGCCTGACTATATTGTACAATGTAGAAACCATTGTTGTCCCTGCATGTCTTAACACCGTGCTCACCTGTTCTTTTATTTTATTATTATTATTTTCCGAAAAAAGTTACCTTTATAAGTTCCTTGCTAGGGAACAAACCTGAAATTGAAGAAGAAGAAGAAGAAGAAGAAGAAGAAGAAGAAGAAGAGAAAAAAACATAAGATAGACATTCTGGTTCCCCTCCCCAGCACACACAAACACCCACACACATATATACACACAGAGAGAGGGACAGACAGACACCGTCACAAACAGACACACATCACTGGAGTGCTGTTTGAGCCTCTTTTGATTGTCCCTGGATGGCCATCTGCTTTGTTTGCAATCGCAGGTCATTGGGGAAAAAAATCTTCTCAGATGTGCAGGCGGAACTACGCATTGCTATGTCTGCATGTGTCTGGTTTCCATCAGAGGTAAACGTTCAGAAACCCTACAAAAGAAATGTGTAAAATAACTCTTTTAAAAGAAGAAGAAGCAGCACTTTTTAAGGACCATATCTTTAATACAGTCCTGTGGCTGGAAACAAGAAAGAATGGGGGGAAAAAAAATCAGCCTGAGATTATAGTCTAAAATATTACACATTCCCTCCAACCGTCACCTGTAGGTTTAGTTTTACTCATAGACAAATGACATTATCTATCTCTTTCTCGTTTTATTATTCTTTATCATGCCTTTCTTCCTCCTCCCCCTCCTCCTCCCATTCGCTAACATTTTAACTTAAATATAAAAGGATGGAATACATATATAAACACACTGGCACACATACAAACACAAAAAGAAGCATACATGTACACAAGAATGAATGAATGAATGAATGAATGAATGAATGAATGAATGAGCGAATGAATGAATGGTGGGGCATGATTTATCGATATCAAGAAACTGCTGAAACTGGTGTCATTTTTACAAGGCCAACCTTTTAGCTTGGATGATCATAGTAATTTAAAGACCAAAGAACGCACTATGGATCAAGGAAATTGCTCGTTGGTCTTCTCACGTAAAATCTGATCCAGGAATACACTGACACTAAGCATGGTGATTGTTGTCAACATGGATTTTAGTTTGATGCCCAAAGGAACCTATGACATGAGCTTGCTGATTTTTTTTTTTAAAGTGATTACATTCACCAACTATATTAACATGACCCTCTGGCTTCAAAAATATGTTTTCCTTAGAAAATTTACAAATCCATCTGAGAAGCTTCAAAACACGTTCAGGGGATAGCCGAAAGAAGAGTGAGAATGAAGGCAGGATGAAGAATATGCTTCAAGTCAAAACATGGCAGCATCTTGGTTGAGAATGGATGCTAATTCTTGGGTTCTTGCAGTGTTCCAGGTTATTCATTTGCTGTAGGCAAAGGTATTATGCAGGTTTTCTTAAAACACAAGTGCATTTAAGCTGAGTCTTGTGCAATACCCAACCCGTGTTGAGACTCCAGGTGACCCAGAGTCTCGGCAGACGTCATTCCCAACGTGCTCTTGTGCAAAATTGTGCGGCTTGCGACTTTGTACAAAGCATCCAAGCCAGATGCAGAGCTCTGGGGTCATGACGAATTCATATAGTTTGCACTATATACAGGGGATAGGAAAAAAAATGGACCAGATATTTTTTTGTGCAATAAGAAGTTGCAAGAGTATGGAAAATTGAGCTAGTTCTGTATTGATGGTAAGCAAATAGTAATAAAGAATGGACATTCAAATGAAACTGACAATCGGTCAATGCAGTGGGAACAGCTTGGGAAAGGTGCAGAGACACCATCTCCTCAGGTTGTTTAACTTGGCATTAAAGCATGGCTAGATGGTTGTAATAGATTTAGTGACAAGGTAGCTTGGATAGCTTGCATTAAGAGTGACATAGAATATATTATTAGACTGTCTGACATATGGGCCAATCAGCTGGTACAAATCCCTCATGACTTTTGTCTTTTAAACGCTCCATAGCAAAAGTGCCCTTTGTTTTTTAAAATGTACATCTTCTTTGCATTTAATCGTTCGATTGGTTCTTAGCTCGCCTATAGCAACTAAACATATTGCCACGTTTTAGAAATGGAGAAATGTTGAAGGAAAGTTTAGGAGTGAATCGATTGTTCTAATGCATCCTTTTTTTAAACAAACAAACAAACAAACAAAAAAGATATATATCAGAAATTCAAATTTCGACTTGATTAGAGGACTGACTAAACCCTTTTTCTGTATTTGTGTAACTCTTAAGTATGTGTTAAAGGTAAAATGCTTGTCGATATATTTGCATTAAATATGCATTTTTTTTCAGGCTTCAACCGAAAACACCATCAGCCACACAAAAAGAGCAATTGAATAATTTCTCTGTGTAGAATGACAATACACCAAGCATTGTCTTACAGACACTAAAATGGTAGCGGTCCAGATTGTTGTTTTTTTTTTTTTAACCTCAGTTCTAGACAGCCAATATCTTATAAGAAGACTTTCAAAGTTAAAAGGATTGGCATCTATTCCCCCTTTTGTGCGCCACATAAAGGCACATGCAGTATAAGACTGAACAATTTACCTAATTTAGTTGTAGTGATAAGCCCAAAGGATGTAAAAAAAAAAGAAAAAAGAAAAAAAAGAAAGAAAAAAAAGAAAGAAAATTATGTGTGCTTGTTTGTATGTTCAGTAATCTAGTAACACCTAACCATCAAAACATAATCAACAGCTTCTTACTACCCAGCATGATCCACAGATATATATATTTTTCCGTAGGTGTTTTTCATTTGAAATTAGTCGAATTGGGAAACACTCCTTCTATAGAGTGCTTTTATATTAAATAAATAAAATAAAAAAAATGGAAACGGAAAGTTTTAGAGCAAATGCAAAATATGCAATTGTGCCTTTTATATTGTTGTCATGGTAAAACAGTGCTTGGGTTGGACACTAAAAATATTGGACTGTTCCCACTTTTTTTCAACCTGTATATTTAACCCTGTTTATTTTCTGAAAAGCATCAAATGGTATATTTAAGAGAGAGAGAGAGAGAGAGAGAGGGAGGGAGGAAAAAAAAAAAAAACCTTTTACCAAACTCAGATAATGGACCAGTCTTAAATATAATTCATGAAAAAAAAGGAAGAAAAGAAAGACTATGGTTTGGGAACAGGTTAAACAGGTTAAGTTAAAAAGTTACAGTATTGATCTCAGTGACAAGAAATTATGCCTCTTTCTCTCTCTCTTTTTGGCAGAGAAATTGACGAATCTTTGTTCATTGTTGCTTTTTTTAATAGATGAAGATTTTCTTTGCAGCCATTTTGTTTTAATTCCTGTTTTAGTTCGATTTCACAAGGAACTCAAGTGAACTGTGTTTGCATTTGACACTTTGCACATTCCTAGCTTGACATGCCACTTATGTAAACTTTATATGAATTAGAAAAAAAAAAGAAGAAGAAGTCATATTAACTTTGATATAAACTCTTATGCTCATTCTGACCTCCGGCTAGGCTAATATTTGGGTCAGTTTCATTCTTGGCTGGCCTACTCTCTTGAGTTTCTGGAAACAAGGTAGATGCTATTTTTTATGTGGGGGAGAAAAAACTCCACCTAAGAGATGGAATGTGTTGGAAGAAAGACTAGGAAATTGTCACTGTTGGAAAGCAAAGGTGTGGGGGAAATGGAACTGGGGGTGAAAAAGGAAATGGAAGTGTGTTAAATACAACCGTCACTAACAAGATTTGAACAGCATTTGACAAGGCGAAGAATGGAACAAGGTTTCCAGATGGTAAAGAGGCAATGTTCTCTTAAGTGCTGAAAGGAACAACACTAATGTTGGACAATTCCTTGAAGAACCTAATACCTGGAAGAAAGCATCTTTCTTAGCTACCTGGGGTAATCCTTTCAGCCCCTTCTTTTCCTGATTTTTTTTTTGAAGCACTTACATTCAGTGTGGTTACGATCCGTTGTATTATTAATCATTGACTATTGTTCTGCTACTTGGATGTTGGTCGTGAAGCAGAGAACCAACTTATTGTTTATTATGAGTCACTATGCACGCAACTATGCTAAGAAGAAAAAAAAAACATGGCAAAAATGTATTCGATGCTAGTCCACCTCTATTTATGAAAGATTTTGCATAATTTTATTTGCTTTTGTACAGTTTTCTGTAAATAAATTGCTTGTCATTTTTGTCTCTGCAAATTAAAATATAACATGTTAAAAACGGCCGGGTGTGTGTTTGATTTCTAGAAGTAGCAGTATAGGAGAGGAGAGATAATGTATTATGAGCCGAGGTGGTGCAGCAGTTAGAGTGCAGTACTGCAGGCCACTTTAGCTGACTGTGTTTAGCAGGTCAGCAGTTCAAATCTCACCGGCTCAAGGTTGACTCAGCCTTCCATCCTTCCGGGGTAGGTAAAATGAGGACCCAGATTGTTGGGGGCAATGTAAATATATATATATACATTGCTTAGTGGTATACACTGTTTAGAGAGTGCTTGCACTTAAAGTGGTATATAAGTCTCATAAATAAATAAATAAATAAATGTAAGTTAGGGTCTCACCCTGCAGGGGGATGGGCAGCCAATAAATTTAATAAATAAATAAAATAAAGCAGGCTGAATAATGGAAGAGGTCTGCTTTATCTAGAGCCCTTTGTTAACATCACAACGCCAACTTTATATATAATATGTGAACTCTCTAGGACAGGGGTGTCAAACGCGCAACATCATGTGACATGTCGTGATGCATCGTGACTTTTTTTTCCATTGCCGGCAATGGGATGGGCGCAGTTTCACCATGACACATCCGGCCTGCAGGCTGGCAATTTGACACCCCTGCTCTAGTAGGGCCTTGCACACATATAAACATAAAAGGTGGGAGATCTAAGTGAGCTCTTTAATTTTATTTGACGTAGCATGTTCATTCTGGAGTTATCTATCTGTTAAATCAGTGTTTCCCAAACTTGACAATTTTAAGGCATGTGGACTTCAACTCCCAGAATTCCACAGCCAGCGTTGCTCGTTGTTAAATGCAAGTAGCTAAGCATTGTCAAGTTTGGGAAACACTGAGTTAAATGAACGTAGCTGCCTTTTAAACCTAGTGGAAGCTACTAAAGTTGCAGGATCCAATCTGAGTTGGTCACCAGGACCAAAGGTTTATTCGTCCAAGCTTTCAGGTTTGTGCTGGAGCCCATCTTCAGGGAACTTCTATCTCTCCAGAACATCTCTCCATTCATCCAGTTTTGGTTGCCACAGTTTAAAAAAAGATGTTGAGACTCTAGAAAGAGTGCAGAGAAGAGCAACAAAGATGATTAGGGGACTGGAGGCTAAAACATATAAGGAACGGCTGCTGGAATTGGGTCTGTCTAGTTTAATGAAGAGAAGGACGAGGGGGGACATGATAGCAGTGTTCCAATATCTCAGGGGCTGCCCCAAAGAAGAGGGAATCAAGCTATTTTCCAAAGCGCCCGAAGGCAGGACAAGAAGGATGGAAAGTAGTCAAGGAGAAAAGCAACCTAGAACTAAGGAGGAATTTCCTGACAGTTAGAACAATAAACCAGTGGAACAACCTGCCTCCAGAAACTGTGAATGCTCCAACACAGGAGGTTCTTAAGAAGGGACTGGACAACCATTTGTCTGAAATGGTATAAGTTTCCTGAGCACGGGGTTGGACTAGAAGACCTCCAAGGTCCCTTCCAACTCTATTATTCTATTCTAAGATGGCTCCAGCACAAGCCTGAAAGTTCGGAAACTTTTGATCTCAGTGAACGACTCATATTGGATCTTACAATATTGTCCGGGACACGTATATTTGCCTTCATTCACTACTAAAGTATAAAAGTTAAGCTTAACTCCTCTTGAGTGCACTTGTCTTGAAAACAATTTACAATTGTTGAAAGTTTTTTTTTTTCTTTCCCAGCCCTAGAATTCTCTATGCTGTTTTCTCCAAGTATTAACTAAGGCTGACCCTATTTTACTTATGAATCAAGTCCAGGCTAGCCTGATTCTGTCAACTGCAAAGATTCTAGAACTAAGAACAGAACTGAACAGAACAGAGCTGGAAGAGATCTCAGAGATCTTCTAGTCCAACCCCCTGCTCAAGCAGAGAACCTATAGCATCTCAGATAAGTGATTGTCCAGTCTCTTCTTAAAAACCTCCAGCGATGAAGCACCCACGATTTCTGGAGGCAGGCTGTTCCACTGGTTACTTGTCCTCACTGTTAGGAAGTTTCTCCTTAATTCCTTAGTTGCTTCTCCCTTTGATCAGTTTCCATCCATTGTTTCTTGTCCTGCACTCTGGTGCTTTGGAGAATAATTTGACCCCCTCTTCTTTGTGGCAGCCCCTCAGATCCTGGAATACTGCTACCATGTCACCCCTATTTCTTCTTTTCTTTAAACCAGAGAAATAAGAATAAATAAATATATTTTGTTCTCACAGAGCACTTTCTATTGTTGTAAACAAAGCTGTAGTCGTTTTTGTTACTTTGAATTTAGACTCAAAAATAGATTGGGGGTGCATCGCACAGGCTCGGACTTCCTTATCCATATTGAAACAATTCCAACTTTCTATATACCTACACATTCCTAGTCATTTCTGTTCCTCAACTTTTCCAACCATTATGTGGTAATAATTTGGCCTAGGGCAGGGATAGGCAACTTTGGCTCTTTTATGACTTGTGGACTTCAACTCCCAGAATTCCTGAGCCAGCATGGCTCAGCTTGGAAACCTCTCCCTTTCCCCTCAGCATGGCTGGCTCAGGAATTCTGGGAGTTGAGGTCCACGAGTCATAAAAGAGCCAAGGTTGCCTACCCCTGGTCTAGGGCAAACAGATGGATAGCCACTAGATGGTAATGAAGATGCAGAAAAGGCTAGCTGGCTTTCAAACCTAGTGGAAGCTACTAAACTTGCAGGATCCAATCCAAGTTGGTTACAGGGACCCAAAAAATTATTCTTCCAAGCTTTCAGCTTTATTGGCATTTTTGTAGACCAAATCAGATAGTTATCTCCCTATCCCTCCACACAGTCCGAAGGGCTATCTTACACTGAGAAAATGTAATGCATTGGATTTAATTGGCAATTAGAATCTTCAAAGCTTTAATCTTTATCCGAGCTTATTATTCCAGAAGTTAGAACACAACAATATAGCACGTATTAGTTGACTATAATCATTCTACATTTCAAAAAGATGAGTTTCTGGCAGAGGTGAGCTTTGAAAAATAGAACTGTAACATCCCTGACTCACAGTTTTGCTTGATCCTTTGACTGCTTGCTGAGCATATAAATATTTCCTCTTAATTTGTCATTCAATTTTGTGTTAACCAAATCTGGTCTATGATTTTTTTCCTGTTTGAGATCCGAAAGGAAGTCAGCATAAATATCTTAAGAGAGATACTCTGTGTGTGGGTTATTGCAGCAAGTTATTGCTCCTGTTTGTATGGCAATCCTGACATTCTGCTGTGGATTTACCACATTATGCTTGTTTATATTGATTTATTTGGCTTGATCAAATTCTCAGAACAGCAGACGTTTGATTGGTACTTACAGGTCCCAATCATTGTACTGAACAATATTTTAAGCATGCTGGCCTCTTTGAATTGAACTGAATTGCTTTCAAACAGGTTTATGAACCAGCCCAGATATTGGTTTATCCTCTCAAATGAGCTTAGTTGTCGATATGTAATGTTATTTCTGACACCTGGCCTATTAGTTCTAGAAGGGGAATCAACTGGCTCTCGTAACTGTTATTTAATTACAATGTTAATTACGACATTATTCTAATTATTACAGAAAAAAATAAATAAAACGCTTTCCCCCTCGCAGCATTTTGCAATAGTTGTAACTCTCTTCTGCAATGAACCAATATTTGCAGTTGATGATAGAAAGAATAGGACAATCCTTCCTTCCCTTCTTTTTTTAGCCCCTTCTTCCCACTACCTCATGGCAATTAGTGAGTTCTACTAGTTCTATTTTGAGTGGTCATTTCATTGGGCAATTTATTTTTTATTTTTTTCTAATGAATGGATCCTGGTGGACGTCACCTGGTTTCAAACCCTGAAGCGGCGTTCCACGGATGGTCCAAATTCATACTGCACATCAGGATCTCATTTGCTGCTGAATTCTGTCAACTGATCTGTAGCTTATGCAATGGACACTCCCAAAGCTTCTGTTTTACACACAGTTGTACTTAGGGAAAGCTCCGCTGTTTCTGGCTCCAGACTCTGTTAAGTATGTTGTTACTCCCACCAGTTATCTTAGTCAGTTGGAGTCGGCAAATCACCGGAAAGAAAAAAGAAGGACTAGGGGTAACAGGATAGCAGTATTCCAGAAAGGCTGCCATAAAGAGGAGGGGGTCAATTTATTTTCCAAAGCACCAGAAGGCAAGACAAGAAACAATGGATGGAAACTAATCAAGGAGAGAAGCAACCTGGAATTAAGGAGAAACTTCCTAACAGTGAGGACAATTAGCCAATGGAACAGCTTGCCTCCAGACGTTGTGGGTGCTCCATCACTTGAGGTTTTTAAGAAGAGACTGGACAGTCACTTGTCTGAAATGATATAGGGGCTCCTGCTTGAGCAAAGGGTTGGACTAGATGACCTTCAAAGTCCCTTCCAGTTCTATTCTGATACAAAAAGATGCCACTGACTGAAAGATTTTGCTCAGGAGAGGTGGAGACCATTGGACGCATACTCCTTCGATGCTCTTTCTATAGAGATATTTGGGAAAAAATATATTTTCCCAATAATTAATAGATATCCTGGCCGTTCTGACACTGCTCATCTCCAATGGCTGCTTAAGGACAAACAAACTGTGATTACAGTGCAGGTGGCTAGATTCTGCGCAGCAGCACTGGGGATTTGTCAGAAACATGTGATTAATCCACCATAGCAATCTTACACAATTAATGTAGCAAACTCTTCTGCAGTACTATTTTTTTTTCCTTCTTCTTTTTTGCATTCTAGTATTCAATGGCTATGGGCTCCATAGTTTAAGGATTATATTATATTTAGTTAGGTCATGTGTAACTGACAATTTGGATGCCAAATTGTGATTTTAATATAGATTTTATCTACTATTTATGATTTTACTCTAGAATTTTAACTGGATGTTCATTGAGTGCTTTTATTTGTTCTGGTCTAGGGTCTTTGATTGTAATAAACTTAAACTACACAATTGTGCACAGTTCTCCGGCATGGTTAGCCATGCAAAATAGTTTAGACAAGAAG